CTCTGGCCCTCTCTCGGCCTGGCCAGGAGCCTCAGCTCTGCGGTGCGCGCCGACACCGGCGTGAAGGACGGAGATCCGTGCGCATCCTCGGCGATATCAGAAAAAGACACTGGAAGGCAGAAGGTTTGGAGCCGTGCCTCCGCAGGAAGGGCGGTACTTCTTCGAAGTCCAGGCGCTTCAGACACGGATTGTTGTAACGATGAGCCATCCATGTCTCAGCCCGACAGTTAGCCCCTTTTGACTCTAGATGCCATGGAGTGGCCACAGGCTTCCGCCAATTCGCTTCAATCAACCAGCTGGATGTCTACCGGCCTGTATGGAGCTGTTGTAGCCGATCAAGCCCACAAGTCCATGGGCACAGCAGACCCAGCAGCATGCAACTCTGCAATTCAAACCGTTGAATTGCCAGCACTATGCAAACCGCTAGTACCCTGAAGAACGTCGGGCTGCATGGTTGTGGAGTCTGGACTCCGTCGTGCTAGTTGAGCTTCACCGACAAAGAACCTTGCGCCCCCTTCTAACCCCCCACAAGCCAGAACTTCCCAGCTGCACAAAACCGCCACAAACTTCATCTGACATTTCGGACGTGGCCTCGGACACACCGGGATGAGCGATGTGTCCGCCCACGAGCTCGCTGCAGACCTGGCCAGCGAGGCTTTCGGGCTGCAGTTTGGGAACTCCCAGCAAAGCGCGGACCTGTGACGAAGGCTAGGCGGCTTGCAGCAGCTATGCTACGACTGCCAGCAGCTCTGACATGGGGCAGAGATTGAAGTGTGGCTGGTCCGCGGACACTGCGCAGCTACACCCTCTAACAGAAGGACTACCAATCACCCATCATACAAGAAATGGCAGCAGTAGGTGCATCCTGAGGCGGGAGCGCGTTGTGGCAGTCTCAAAGTCGGGTGCTGAGTTGCTCGCCATTTGTCTTCATCTCTTAACCCAGTGCTGGCACGGACAGCTCGAGGCCTGCGTCGCCCGGCTCGGAGGCTGCAGCCCGAAGAGTTCCCAGACCATAGCTTGTCTAGCATCTAGAAGTCACTGCAGAGTCCCTGACAGCTTCGGTTTTGTCAGGCCGGTTTGCGGGTGCTCAGAGACAGCTTGGCACTGCGCGAGAACATGGCGCAGCTCCTCTCGGAGGAGGGTGTGTGCATGAGTTGCCGGGTCTGATGATGCTGCATGGGCATAGCAGTAGACTCGTGCGATGTAAACAGAGTTTGTTTGCAGCGAGTGTGGATTCCTAGCCCTGCTACCGAAGCCGAAAGGCCATTCAGCTGACAGAGCTGTTCGATGACGGTGCGCTGGTTGGGCCGGCTTGTGAAATGAGGCTTCTATAAAGAATTGAAGGCGGGTCTCTGCCAGGGGATGATGTGAAGGGTCGGAGTCACCGTGCTCATGAATGCAGATAGATGACTGTCGACCGGGTCATGCATGGAATCGAAACCTGAGGAAGAAGCTGGAATAAGGGCAATCAAAAGCTGGTGGTGGTATGTGGTGGTGGTGGTAGTAGGAGCAATAGTAGGCAACAGGAGCAGGAGCAGGCCGGGGCCGGGACCCTTGGCCGTAGCCGTAGCCGGTGGTAGCAGCAGCAGTAACAGTGGCAGTCGTCGGCGTTGTCGTCGTCCACCCCGACAGAACCACAGAGTCAACGGCAATGGGCGTTGGAATTGAAGCAGCGGCATTGGGAATCATCATCATCATCAGCAGCAGCAGCAACAGCAGCAGCAACAAGAGGAGCTGCAACAATAAGTCATCAGAAGCGTAGCGTAGTCATCGTCTTGAAATTGGCCCATTTGTCGTCGTCTTGGTTGTGTTGCCGTTATTATCAGTTTCTGTGACGGATGATTTAGATTTGGCAGACCTTATCGTCGTCGTAATCGTCGTCTTTGTACAGTAGCTGCCGTTGACGTGGCCGTCGTCCCGACAGTCATCGTTGTAGTCGTAATCGTCGGCCCATGTCGCCTCGTACACGAACAGCCGACCATTGCAAAAACCGTAGTGTGACAGCCACAGATGTTGACCGTATTGCAGACACTTTCGTAATTTCCTTGCCATGAGCACAGGAATGGTTCTTCCAGAGATTTACAGGACATGCTTCCGTGAGCTCACCGGGTGTGCGACGCCAGGTCGGACCTGCAAATCCGGCCAAAACGTCGGAGGTGACCAGAAATTTCAAACGGGTCCCCGTGAGCTTGCAGGAGAAGATATCATGGTGTGTGCTGTGTTCAGATGCTTGTTGGGCATTGTGAGCCCAGCGCGAATGTTACACACCTAATCTTGAGACTGGGAATGCTTCCTGAGCAGGTTGGAATTGGGCCCGTGCGAGCCGCCCCATCGGGCCCAGCCGATGCGTTTCAGGCAAGCTAGAAGATGCTCGCAGGAGAAGCGGCTCTGCAATATTGAAGTCAAGGGCTTGGCTGGTAAACAGTCGGCACAAGTGAATCCCCAAAGAGCTGTAACTTTGGAGGCCGCCGACTGATGCTGCGCCTGTCAGTGAGAGAGATCAGTCAGGCTTTGGGCCCAAAGACACTGCCAATTGGCCTTGCCTGAAAAAGTGAGCTCCGCGAAGAGCAGACACTGCACTCGTATTTACCCCGGCAGCAGACAGATCCCCAGCGTGTAAAAAGGTGCTGGAGGCGGCAGACAATGCGCTGCTTCAGGTGGGCTTCTCCACGGACAGGTGCCCACGGCAGAATCAAGAGTGATTGCCGAAGTATACATGCCCTAGTTACATCGTAACTGAGCAGCCAGTGGACAGCAGCCTTTCTGCATGGCCTCTGAACCGTCTGGAATCGCGCAGAAACGGCTTCCTGGCTCTGGCACATCTGAGTTTCTTGTCATACCGACTTCGTGCTGAATGGAACGTGGAGGGTAGGTAGTTGGTCACACTCCGCTTTGCCCGCATCTCCCGGAGGTCTCCGCTCTTGGGGCAGTTTCGGAACCGAGTGGCCTTCGATGCTAACGTCACTGCCGCAGCAGCAATATTCCAAGACAGGTCTGCAGGTCGTCGGTGCTTGCATCTGATACCTTGTGATAATCCTAAACCTCGAAGACGGAAGGCCTGAAGTCTGGAAGAAAGAATCCAAGTTCTCCTGAGGGCAGCTTCGTCACCTCCGAGCCGGGTGCTTCCACAGAGCTGCCGGAGGCCAGGAAGCCCAACGAGGGATGATGATGATGATGATGATGATGACGGTGGTCGTGGGGTGGTAGTGGTGGTGGTGCGGATGACGATACTTGTCGTTGTAGACTGCATGTTCAGACTGAATGCCTTGCTTATTGGTGTGGTTTCGCAGTTCCGACTAAACCCCACAGCCAGAAATACACAATCCTGCGGAAGATGCCTGTCTCCGCCAAGAGACAATGGGCAGTCAGGGACGCACAGGTGGACTCGAAAGGGCTTTGGTCGAAGGCTAAAGTGTTTTCTGCAGGCTGTTGAACCGGAAACTGAGCTCTGTCTGGAAGCAGCAGCAATGACACGACGACGTTGATGCTTCCTATTGTCGGTAAGCGCAAACCCCAGCGAGCTAAACCATGGCAGACGAAGGTCCACTTACAGATTTAGAGACTTAGAGAGTGGGAGACGCGCATCTGCTCATCACGTGTCCTCCAACTTCTTTGTGTTGTGCGCGCACGCGGGCCCGCGTGTGTGTGTGTGTGCTGTTGCCGTGCTGCTCTTCTTCTCATTGTTGTGGTTCCTAAAGAGGGACGGAGAATGCAAAGATGCTATTGAGCGGCATGTAGCAAGGTACTGTAAGCAACAGATGAATGCATGGACAGAACATGACAGAACATGTGCACGTCGACAAACGAATACACCCCTGAACACATGTCTTAGCAGACTCAGCATGTAGGTACCGATCGTAGCCCGTCTGAGTCGGTCTGACTGTGAAGGAGGGTAAGCAAACCGAATCAAACTGATCAGTTCCGTTCAGCCACATCGGAAAGGCATGCAAGCCCTTCGGCCGCCACGTGGTTGGCGTGCTCGTCGAGCTCTGCCAGGTCTACTTACGGGGAGCTGGAGAGAACTACCGAAACTCAACCACAATGGCAAGTATCGAGGCGTAGACGCTCGTCGCATCCTGACCTAGTTGCCGCACGAGATCGCACGAGGGCAGCGGAGTCAACAACTCTAGCGACAAGAGTGTCGTTGATATTGGTATGTGGCGGTATGTGGTGTGCATTTCAAGGACAGGTGGTGCTCGGTTTCGCCTGCCACCGACAACATGAACAAGATAGATTTCAACGTATTTCAGCAGCAGAGCGGCGTGCCCGCCGTCTACGGCCCTCGATGCCGCTCCCGCCTCGGCCTCCACCCCACCATCACTACTACCCTACCCGCCAGGGGCCAGATGCCGGAACGCCTGGTGCAGTTTCTGCCAAGTCCTTACAACGAAACAGACTTTGCTGCCTGCACCCTGCTCTTCGATCACGTTGTTGCAGTGCTGCAGGAGTTCGCATCACAAAATATGCAGTATCTGACCATTCCGGACCCGAAGAATCACTGCTACACTTGGGTTCAAGATTCGGAGAGCTTGCACGGCCTGGATGACATATGTCACCATGGGAGAGTCGCCTGCCGTTTTGTCCAATCATTGTTGTTCTTGCAGTCAACATATTGCAGCAATGATGATGATTCCCACAGTTTCATAGCAGTGACCTCCCGAGCGGAAACTGTTTGAAACCTTTCTGATACAGCGACATCCATGATGCAGGAGTTACAGTTGATCGAGTCTCAGGATGTGCAGTAGAGGAAGGTCTCCTATCGGAGGTGCCGATACAGTCTGTGGTGTCGCCGGTTCAGTGACCTGTAAAGAAGCTCTCAGATGGATGCAAATGATGCTTCAAGAACATGCTCCAGCTCTGCTGCAACGCGATGTCTCGCACGATACGTAGTTGGTTATGTTGATCAGAGGTTCAAGTTTGCATCCATCAACTGTTGGAGGGGCTTTTCCATCGCTAAGAGACGGTGGCAAAGAACCATTTGAACAAAGAGGCCGCATCGCATGCGGCAATCTCTCTATTATGGAACCACGCTGTGCAAGTTTTTCGTTTCTTGGCTGCAGCAAAGGAAGCTGATGCAAGCGGGGTTTCGATCAGGAGCCTAGGCCCCAGCTAGATCGGCGTTGAGCAGATCATGGGACTATTTTGGGCCTGCAGGTGTAGGATTCAGGGTAAGATATCGGGATAAGGTTTTGCGCAATTAAAAAGTCTTATGTGCAGATCAGCATGGAGTACCACTAATGTCCCATTGCAGTAGGAGGGTTTCGCTGCGACCAGGAGAAGGGCAAGTGCTCTCGAGGCCGGGTACCGTCGGAGATCCCTGGTGCTCCTCTGTTTGATAGCAGCTTGTTATGGTGTTTGCGTGTGTGTGTGTGTCTATATTTATATTTATGGATACTTGCATCTAGGTTTCCCAGCCCTGCACAAAGTCACAAAGGGGGCCCTGGCCTGACGGCTGTTTTCAGGTCGCATCATGTTCATGATTGATGTCCTTCGCTCCTTTGCCCCGGGCCCTATGGCCCTATGATAGTCCACGGGCAGATCATACCGATGGGGGCGACAGCCCATCTATCACGCTTCTGGTCGCCGTAGTGCGCAGTTCAATCATACCCACCCCCTTCCGCAAACTTCAGGAAGCTTGTGTGAGAGGATTCAATATGATTCAGTTGCAGTTTGCAACCGATGCAGCGACTGGTCAGAAAGACAGCCGAAATTTATAGGCGATTGCATGGAGATCGCACTCGGAACTTGGCAAGCGCCAATCTGCGACCTTGAAAAGGTCTGATGCACCAGCGCAAACTGCAATGACTCCATATCTGATTCACGGGGTTGTCCCCACAGAGGTGACAGCACAACGAGGAAGCCTCCGCGATAACACCATCTCGTGTACTTACAGAAGTGTCAACCAAAAGCTAGTCGCAGAGTTTTTGCCTTGTCATGTTTGCACATTTCGCAGCATGTTCCGATTCCGACACATAGCCAGCCCCACTACTCACCGTCTCTGAGTCCGGCAATGTTGACATTCAGGGGAGGTTGACGAGCAATTCTCCTTATTTCTCGCGCGCACTCCCTCCCTCTCCCCTCCCTGTCTTCCTTCGCCACACTGCTCCCCTCCCTGTGTCGCCCCTGCACACGTGAGCGAGTCTGGCAGGAAATAATTGCAACTTCGCGCATGGGCGCAGACGACTTCGTGACAAGCCGGATCTTGCTAAGACAAAGCCGCTCGGCAGGGTCGGCAGGAGTGTTGTCGGTTTTCGGATATCTGCATGCAGGGTTTCATTATCACTTGCTGCTAGAATCTGGTAGAAGCTACCAGCATTTGCTAAGGAGCACCGCTTCTGGGTTCAGTGTAATTAGTGATCGCAGGTGGTGTGCTACCTTCCTGGAAAGTGGCTCGTGCCCTCGGGGCGAGGCATGGACTTGGCAATTCGCAGTCAGACCGGGGCCGCCGCCGCAGCCTTGCGAGGAATGTCCTTATGCGCACGACACGGATGAGAAGCGTAAGTATCGCGGCAAACATGTGGTCTCGGTAGCCGCATGGCAGCAAGTGCACTGAATCCTGCAAGCAAGGGCTCGTCGTCCGGTTCGGTTTGATTTGTCTTTCGGCACAAGGACCAGGCGGCTGAGCTGTACATCTCGGATACCTCTGATGTTCTGGAAGAGTCAATCCCAACAGAACAGCCCGACTCATCGGTTGCTGCCGGCAGCAGCCACACAAATGCTGCTTGCTCTGAACCTTTCTTCGGGTGCTACGATTGTGTGTCGACGAGAGGAAGTGCATATTTCCGAGTAACATGACCTCACATTCGCTCCGCTGCTCGCCGCGGCTTACTTGAGGCTGCTTGCACAGTGGCGATGCATCTAAGGCCTCGGCATCGACTCGCCAAAAGCCCGATTTCGAGGAGTCAGACACATCCGGAGAAGTGGAATCTTGGGATGACAATCAGAAGTGATGCAGACTCCCTAGACACTGGGTCCTAAACCGTTTCACTTGTGAGCAGCTTGCATGACATCCAGGCGCCTACGAGCGGAAGAAGCGAGCCTGACGAAGCGGCCTCTCAAGATTCTGATTCCAGGATGCACCTTAGAGTCTCGAAGCCTTAGAGTCTTGGGGGGCATCATAGTTTGGCCGAAGGGCACCGGGATTTTGAAGACTCTTTGGCAGCCCTCGGTATGCATTTCCGAGGACGTACCTTACGGTGGCCCGGTTCTTGATGTCTCCGCAGCTTGGAACCAGAATTCCACAGATTCGGGCTTGGATACATGCTGGCCCCTACACGTAGGTGGCAGGCACCTGCCAAGTTCTGATGGTAAAGCCGTTCATTCCGGCATGAGCATCGCTGCAGGGGCAGGGGACTTTCGTTCGAAGCGGCCTGTGCAAGGTCAGGAACACATTCCTGCACTTTCAGGAGCCACTTGGTCCAACTTGAGTCACGCTCCATCAGACATTCACATCACAGCATCGATCCTTTTGGTTCCAGTCTGAGCTGACATGAAACTTCAGGCAGTCTGAGGGCAGCGGCCTACGTCGGTCTGCTTCCTGGTCCGAAGGGGTCCCAGGGACAGCAGAAGCTCAAGAGCGGTCCGATCGAAGCGGGTCAGATCGGGAAGCTGTGGCGCTACAGCTCTCAACTTTCGAGGTGCGATCCTTTGCAGGATAGCTTCCACAAGGGCACAGACCACGACCTTAGGGGCACGCGGGGAGAATTTTTTGGATCAACTCGCGGCTTGAGGTACCAGCTTGAGCAGAAGCTCGCTGAAACTTTCCATCAACAGCTTTTCTGCATGCAATTCATTCGGTATTTACGCAACATTCAGTTGCTGGCATTGTCCTGAGATCTCCGGACCTCTTGAAGATCAGTTAAGCCTATTTCCTTTTCCTCTCTACATTGAAGATGTGCCGTACTCAAAGCTGTTCATTGTAGGTTCGGAAGGGGTCCCGGCCGAGTCATTCGATGAATGTTCGGGACCATCTCTGGATGCCAAGTCTGCAAGAGCGGTCTTGCTTGAAGCATCCAAGTAATCTGATCCAACTTTTTGGCGGCATTGAAGCCATTTCACGACCGGATGATCAACCCGTTTCCAACATCACCGCAGGAACTTGTAAGTTCTTCGGGCTTGTTGACCAGCCGGGTCAAGCGGGGTCCTGTGTGCAGCACAATGAACCCTTTGGTAAGCGTCGGCCAGAGAAGCAGCCAGATCGCCATGCTAGAGATACTGGTTCAGTGGATTTCAGTGGTTCACTGAGGGTTGTGCAGACAGACAGTGTAGTTGCAAGCTGGGCGTTCTGTAGCCCTGTGGCCGTGTCGGGTTTGATGAGCTCGACGAGTCTATCTAATTGCGACACCGGAAGGGTTTACTGAAGCAATTGCGATGGCTCAAAGCCTGTGCAAGTGCGTGTTGTTCGCAGCAACCGCAGTACTACTGATGTTAAAGAACTACAAAGTCGTGGAAGCAGCCTCTGGAGCACGAATAGGTGTTTGGCATAACATTGCACACTGGAGGCCGGCGAGCAACCGGCAAATTCTACTTCCGGTGCCTGCATTTCAAGGGGTTCGCCCCAAAGTTAGGGAGGTAAAGACAAACATTGAGGATACAGTATTCAAGTTGCACGAGAACTCAAAGGACTACGGTTGCGTTGTTTTGCTGGTACAGGTGCCTGAGAATGGTGCATCTGTCTGTTGAGTCTTCTAATCTCTGTGACGGGCTGCTAAACCATGCCGCAGTCTTGTCGGCCTCAGGCAGGGCCGCAGGAAAGGTCCGACAGGACTGCCCTAGCAGCTGCATGCATCTATCGAATGCAGTGAGCCGTTTCACAATCAGTGTCTTGCGACTGCCTGTTTGCCTATGTCTCTGTCCTTTTTTTTTGTCGTCGCCCGGCTCTGCCTCTCTTTCTCTCCCGTCCTTTGTCAAGCAAATTGATGTCGCAGTTTCAAGCTCTAGCTGGTGCAAGTCAAGACACATAGACCAGAGCGCAGTACATGGGTGCTGTTCTGAATTGCGTCTCCTGTTGATTTTATTTGTAGTGATGAAGAGCTCTTCGAGTTCAGAACAGCGCCGGTTTCTGGCAAAGACTCCTGGAGCCTTCGGAAAAAACATAGCTCTGAGTCCTCAGCGCGGCTAGCTGCAGCCGTTTCTGCAACTAAGGAAGTGCCTAACAGTTCCGACAACTACTACCACAACGACGACGCTCCCGCGACGACAGCAGCCACGAACACAACAAAAGCCCTTCTCTCACTGCTGCTGCTGCTGCCACTACGACGACGACGAAGACCACTACGACTGCCACGGCGTACTAGCAGCAGTAATAGCGACAGCAGCAAGAGCAGTATCAGCATCAGTATCAGTAGCAGTAGCAGTAATCGAAGTTGTCGTCGCAGTGGAGTAGCAGTAGAAGGAGCAGTACGAGTAGGAGTAGCAGTAGGAGCAGGAGTAGGAGCAGGAACAGGAGCAGCAGCAGTAGTAGTAGTGGTGGTAGTAGTAGTAGTAGTAGTAGTACTAGTACTGGTACTAGTAGT